TTTGTTAATTTTCAGATTTTGAAATATTAAGGTCGATGCCGTTGAAGTTGTTTTCCGGTAAATCCCACGAAGGTAATTCCGCGTAGAAGTTGATATACCGGCATGTGGATGTGTTCCAACTCCTTTATAGAAGGCTGTTCTTTGTGAAACTCATGTTAAAGGCAGAGAAGTACAAGGTTGGCAGAGGATTTCTGGTTTATGTGCATTTTAATTTTTTGGAGAATTGGTTCCTTTATTCAGTTTTGAATTTTGAGAACCAAGGGTGGCAGAGATGCAAGGATAAGGCAAATAAATGAAATTGCTATTAACACAAATGCAATGATAAGGCAACATCAACACTCTGATGATAGCATCAAGGAACCAAAATAGCTATCATTGCACTCTGATGCAGGGGTATTCTGATGGGTGGTGTTCTTATGAAGGGTACTTTGAAGATTTTAGCACTTGTGTTTCTTTAAACAGATGTCTCAAATTGCAATAGTCAACAATTTATCTCAAGCTTGGTTCCTAGCCTAAGATTGAGGGGGGATGAAGACAGATGTCTTATGATCATTGGTTGTCATATAATCACTGCCATGTCAGCCAAAGTTGTTAGAATATTTGTTAGGCTGTTAAGGATTTGTTAGTTGGTTAAATAATTACAAGTAAGCTTTTACTGTGTTCAATATATTAGGATTTGTAACTCACAAATGTAATTAGTTAGTCTCATTTCTCTCGAAACTTCTCTTTAGTTGTTCATCTTTCTCAATTCTTCATTGTTCTTTGATTTTCCTCAATGTAGTTAACAGGTCGAGAATAAGGGGTCTCAAAGGGTTTTAGAGAAAGTTGGGTTTGTGAAAGAAGGTTTGTTAAGGACGTAAGGTTATTCCAAATATGAGATTAGAGATATGTTTACCTAAAGCTTCTTATCAACTGATAAGAATTTTTGTGATTGGTCTATTTAAAATGTTTGAGAGCATCTTAATGATTATGTCTCTTACTTTGAGGAACATTTTGTTGCATTAAGAATCTTGGTGTATACATTGTGGTGGATCAAACTAATAATTGAATCAACCCCCTTGAAAAATGTTTACAAAGATGAAAGTTTGAAAAATGAAAGAAAAGTTTCGGATGTTTTCTATGTGGGTTGAGGAGTTTGTGTGTTGTAGGTGCGTGTTCATCTGGGTTGTGAATGAAGGAAGGCCTTCACTTATACACAAATTGGTTTGCTAGGGTAAAAAAAAAAAAAAAAAACTAATGAAAATGACTTGAAAACTTTGAGTTTTAATGATAAGAACAAAATAAATGGTAAAGTGAATAGTACCATGATTGACTTTTTAGTGTAAAAATTTGATTTTTCGTTAAAGTGAACAGTACCGTGAGTTTTTCGTTAAAACTCCTAATAAAAATGCTTTTAAAACAGTGTGCGTATAATCTTTGCGACCACATTCATTTGATGCTTCCTAATTCGACCACTTCATACTTTTGTTTGATGTCATCTTTGGATGACAGACTTCAGTTGATATTGATTGAATATTCTATATGATTATTTTGAGAATTATAAAATTTTTATACTCTGATGATTAAAAGTGTGTAATTTTGAATGTTTTTATTAGTTTCCAAAAAAAAAAAAGGTGGAAAAACAGTAAATCCGAGGACAATTTTCTACTTGCAATGTTAATGTGAACAATAACCCTTTTGTTGGGTTTTCGTGTATATAGTTTCTGCTGGTGTCTCATCTTCATCGTATCATAATAACCTTTTCCCATGGGGTGATGTATATGGACCCCCGAGCTTAGCTAGCCCTGTATATCATCATTCCTCGAATTAAATCGTCCACAAAGATGCTGACGTGAATGCAAATAATAGGGATTAGGGACCATATCATCTCGTTGAATAATTATTACACAATCCACTCCTGTCCACTCTACGGACGATCATGTATTTGGTCATGTGGATTGTGGAGCTTGATCATACATTCAGACACAGAGAGAGAGAGAGATATATATATATATATATATATATATATATATATAATGTTGGATAAAAATGAGGACTAGTTACAATTTATAGGGCCCATTTTACGTCGAATCAACGGTACCTAAGTGTAATTAAGCTAATTAAAATTATCACGATAGAATTATACTCACAAAAATTCAATTCAATTTGAAACTATTTGTCTATTTAATTATCACGGTAGAATTCTAATGTTTCTAAGAGAATAAAGTGTTCGTCAATTTTTTGTACACAATTTGATGCCTTAAATATTTCTAATTTACTAATATATCACAAAGATGATATATGAGATGCAACTTAAAAAATAAACGGTTCAGATTGTTAAAGATCGATGTGGTGTGGGTCCGACAACTAATCCTTATTTTTATTGAAAAAAAAAAGATTTCTAAAAAACATTGAAATTTTATCGTGATAATTAAATAGACAAATAATTTCGAATTAAATTGAATTTTTACGAGAATAATCTATGAATCGAAATTTACAAAATAGGTGGTTCAGATCCTTGAAGTTCAATATGGAATAGATTTCACAGTTATTTCCAATTTTTTTAAAAAAAAATTTGGATCCGTGTGCATCCTACCCTTGTTGAGTGGACAAGACAGTTACAGCATTAGGATTTAGGAAAAGAACTCTATCCCTGACAAGGAAACCCCACCCCTCCCAATCTCAGCAATAACTTTACTTAACAAGGATGGGATTTGGGTCCCCTTCCTTCATATCATATTTGTCTCTGTTTCGTCAATAAACACAATCAAACTTCTCAAGAATCTAACAAAAGTACCTAACTAAGGTTACATCGTGAAGGGAAGTTTGAGGTACGTAACCCAAAAAGGAAGAAAGATGAAGTAATTGTGCTTATAGTCTGCCATTAAGTAAGGTTACTTTTGTTTAGTGACATGATGTTCATTTTTCAGAATTATCACTTTTTTTTTTCAATTTTAGTTAATTTTATTAGCATTTCAATTTTGGATAATGTTATTAGCATTTCTGTTTTGGTTAATAGTCTTCAATTTTAGAGTGAAAACCATTTCTTTTTCAATTCTTTCATTTTTATTTTTATTTTTATTTTGCGCTAGAGATAGAAAGTAAGTCTATATCAGAAAAAAGAAGGACAAAGAAGGGTATAGGAAGGTAAAAAGAAGAAACGAAACAGAATACATGAAACAAACACTTGAGATTAAAAACAAAATTTTCGTTTTCTGTTTTGTTTTGTGTACCCTTGATTATTGGACAACCCTACTTAACCAATCCAATTGTATGTGATAAACATGATGTAAATGAGTTGACGAGGAAAGAAGGGGTTGTTGTTCTTTCGCTTTCATTCTGCTTGTGAATTGATGAGATTTATCACTAAATGTTTGATCGTGCAAGTTGCATCATCGATCAAACTTAGCAGAAATTATCGATGGGAATTTGATAAAGGTGACATATAGGCAAAAATTTTCAAAGTCTAAGCTGTTTTTTTTTTTTCTTTTTTTTTAGTGGCAAACACACAAGATCAACAAAATCTAAGTGTCATTTGTGCAAATTTTTATTTAAAACATTATATTTTGTTGAGGTAGTGTTATCCACATACTCATTTTTATCTTTTACACATCATGCTCAATTTTGTTTGTCATCAAATCGAATTAACTGAATACGGTCGGAGGACAAAAATTAAGAGGAGAGTTTGTTGAAGATAAAAAGAAGTGTGAATAACACCATCCATTTCTTTGTTTGTTTATATGATGCCATCCTTTTGTTTTTTAAGTAATCTTGATTAAGGACTAAGGATTGAATGTCCTATCAGTTGACATGTTCTGTTCATTGTTTGATTGTATTTTTATTTGTACAAGATTATTTGTGAGGATATGCTCCAAAATATATATATATATATTTGTCAGGATTATTTACATTTATTTATTATAAAATTATTTCACTTCATCACGTGGTGAGGCTAATTCTGCATTAGATATTGTGACGAAAGCATAACAGATTTTTCCTTAGTCGACTTTCAAATGTTTTCCTTCCGAAGGTCACTGTTCAAAATTTCAAACAAAATTTATTCGTTGTTGTTGGCGTAAGGTCGTCTTGCTCAGCAAATAAGAAGAAAATAACATAAATATTTTCGTATTTATGTACCATTTCTCATAATTTGCACTGGATGAAAGTTTTTTATTGTTCTTTTAACATTACCTTTTACTTGGTAATGAAGAAAAATAAGTAACTATGTTTCGTCAATTGTCATCATATGCACTCATTAATTAAGCAGCATCATTTCAAAGGGGGCCCACCAGTCTCGTTCTGCCCCCGTTTAATGAAGCAGGTAAGGTAAACTCTCTTTTCCTCTTTTTTGTAAATGGGCCAATAATATTAATATTAATCCAATCAATTTAATATAATTAATGGGCCAAACTATTGCGAGATAACAATACTTGATGAGGTGGAGGCCCATATCTGTGGGCCCAATCTGGGCTCTTTAAATTTAGTTAAGTGGGACCCGCATTGGGTTTACGTAGTTAGCTCAGCATTCGGCAGTCAGGACACTTGGGTTCCGACTGTTCACAACACCGCAGAACCTCCCGTGAACTCCACACCGTTTATCCTCCCTCCTTAGAGCTGGTGAGTACCATAAGTCCCGGTATGCGATTCTTATTATTTATTTGTATCATTATTTATGAAAAATTATATAAAATGTGGGCTTTATTTTTATAAGGATGATATCGTAATCATAAATTGCTTGTAAAAATAACCAATAATGTAGGAAGTGATGAGTAAAATTGTTGGCCAAAATAAAATGCGATTGGTGGTTTAAGAAAACACACTGATTTTTACGAAAATATTTTCACTCACTATCTTATTTATTATTATTTTAACAATTTTAATTTTTAAAATCAATGTAAAAAGACACAAATTTTAAAATTTAAATATACCTAATAATAAGCAATGGATAGCAAAAATGTACCCACTATCCTGCATAGTATACCCACACGATTCTTTATATTCAAGCCCAACAACCCACAAATCCCACGAGCTCCCTCTCGCGCTCCCCACTCTCTCTCTCTCACTGACTTTCTCTCTCTAACTTTCTATCTGCGACTCCACTTCGATTTTTCAGGTTGATGATGGGAAACTGATTTAGTGCGCAAATATAGAGAGGAGAGAGAGAAGAACACACATAAGTTCTGGGTTTTATTCATCTGTCATTTGATTTTCTAATCCCGGATTGCTTCTCGTTTGCTTCCAAATCCTGAATCATTTCTTCTGATGCAAAAACCAATTATGCTGAGGCCAAACATACCAACAAAAAAAATATAAAAAGTAATAAAAAGCTGAGCAGCACCAATAAAAGAAGGAACAAAAATACAAACTTTCTTTGTTTTCTGATGCGGTGATGCATGCACGTCCTGTCCCTTGATCATGACTCTTGAGGTTCCGTTTGCATGTCGGTTCTGAGCTTTACGGGATTCCTTCTTTTTCCTTTCTTCTTTCTCTTCCGATTCACAGCGTGAAAATTTTGAGCGAATAAACGCAGGAAACTCGCTCAGGAAGTGAGCTTTTTTTGCTCTGTTTTCAGAGATATGGAGGTCACAGAGTTGTAGCAGCAGAGAGATAACAGTTTCATGAAATCTTTTCTGCAATTGCTGGGTTCTGGATTTTTCCATCCATTCTTGAATACCACAGAGCTTAAAAGTCAGCAACTTTCTGCCATTTTCTAGAGCTTCAAATCTTGTGAGTGATGTACTTGGTAAAAATCATATTAAAGTTGTAATTTTGGGGGCATTTTGTAATTACTATTTCATGTTTTGCAGAGGGATTTTTACAGGAATTTTGAAGAACCAGAGCAAGCAACCGAGCTCCAATGGCTGAAACCAGCTCTCTTCTCTCTCCCAGAGAAAAACATACGAAACCCACTTCCTCTCTCTTCGCGAATCCGAGATTGTTCACCAGCTTCACCTCGAAATCGGTCTCTGAAACTGAAGCCGTGATGAGCCCAACCTCCATCCTCGAAACGAAGCCATTTTTGGGCCTCCGAAACCCCTTCTGGTCCGAATCGAACACCCCCAGAACCCCGGAGCCCGAATCCAGACGCATCCACTGGGACAAATTGGACTCCAAAGGCATCGGCCTCGCCATCGTCGACGCTCTCAACGACTCCGACTCGAAACCGTCAAAGCCCCAAACCCGAATGGTGATTTTCGGGTCGCAGCTCAAGATCCAAATCCCTCCTCTGCAACCCTACCCTTCCGAATCACCGAAGTATCCGGCCGATTTTGGCAACAAGACGGAGAATTCCCATCTGGGTTCTTCCTCCTCCGTCCCGTCTCGGTCGCCGGAGAAGACATCGCCGTTCGAATCAGCGAGTTCCGGGCTCGAGATGATGAATTCGACCCGGGTTTTCACTAGCTGTCTCTCTGTCAGTGAAATGGAGCTTTCAGAGGATTACACGTGTGTGATTTCCCACGGTCCGAACCCGAAAACCACGCACATCTTTGACAATTGCATTGTGGAGAGCTCCGATGGCGTCCCGGAGTTTTCTCCCGGCAGGAAGTCAAACGGTTCAAGCTATCTGTCTGAGAGTTTTCTCAGCTTCTGTGACAATTGCAAGAAAAATCTTGGCCACGGCAAAGATATTTTCATGTACAGGTTGGTTCAATACTCTTTTCCCTTGTTCTTTGTTTTTTCGAGTATTCTTTTCGAAAACTGGTAAAACCGATCATTTTTCAAATCTTAATGGTTGAAATAATTGATATTGCACATGTAGCTAATATTTTATCGATGTATTGTCAATATTTGATGAATACCTGTTGATCTTAATTTTGAATTTGATTTCTGATCGATTTTTCGTTTTTCTCTTTTGAATTTTATCATATGATTCATATTCTGTTAGATTTTCTCACAAAACGCTTAACAATTTTAATCCGTTAACGTTATTTTTTGTTTGAAAAAATTATAAATTGATAATATAATACAAATTATGGATAGGTATGCCTACCCATATTAGAAAAGCATTTACAGATCCAAATTATGCAGGGTATCTTCTGCTATAAAATAAAATAAAACCCATCTAATCCCTTTCAACCAACCAATAAATTTTCTCATTTTATATTCACTTCAATCATGCAATTCATTTCGGTATTCTGTAGCAAAAAGTCTTTAACCATTTTAATTATACGTACGATGTTCTACTCTAATCTAAACTACGAAAAAAGTGACTCAAAACTTGGCTCGAGCTGCACTAACTCGGGTGCAAAGGAAACACACTACATTAGCTAACTTGGCTACGCTAAGATCTGTGTGTCTAAATCTTCTATTTTTAAGCATTCCATTTAAGTGCTGCAATTGTGTTTGCAGGGGTGAGAAGGCGTTCTGCAGCCGTGAGTGCCGTTACCAGGGGATGTTGTTGGATGAGGGAGCGGATAAACTGGAAGCTTGAGCCTTTGAGTAGCTGATTGTGATGTCCATGGGAATTGTTCCTGACACTTCGCTGAAAAAGCTTCAGCAGAGAGAGGGTCCCTTTTATTTTCTATTTTTATTATTTTCTATTTTTGTTTTGGAGATAAATAATAGGGAGGGAAAGATAGTCTTTTGAGTCATCAAATATGGTCCATGAATTGAAGATACATGTAAGACAATATGGTACTTGAATCTTCTGGGAAAATGTATCTTTTCTTTTTCTCTTTTCACTTACTTTTTTGGTTTATTTTTCAAGTGGTGCTATTCACACAACTGTCTTTATTTTTTACACATTTATTTTAATTTTTAGTTTTCAGATTCAAAAAATTGAAGAATATCAAATAACATAAATTAATAAAAAGGGGTTGAAGGTAATAAGGAGTACGAATAGCACAATCTTTTTTTCTAAGCTTTCCCCAAAATTTTCTTCTTTTTGGCACTTTGCTTTATGCTTCCTCTCCTTGTAGAGTTGTATAGGGAATGAATAAAAGATGTTGTAGAGCTGAATTTTGTTGAATTGTTAATATTCAGTAATGTTGTTCGTTTAAGAAGTGGTATTCCTCTTCATATGTAAGTGAGAGGTCTTAAATTCAATTCTCTCTAAATGTGAATTTAAATCACATATTGTTAGTCTATTATGAGGCTAAACACATTCTTTTTTTTTTAATGTAGATAATATCGTTTATTCAACCAAAATAATAATAATAATAAAAGAAGTGGTTGTCAAAAAGCACTTGAATTTTTAATAAACATTTCATTGTGTGTTAAATAAAAGCACTTTCAATAAAAGGCTCTATGGACGAGGCGTTTTTGGCAAAAATGCAGGTCAAAGTGCTTTATCTATCTTGGCTCATTTGACATTGATTTCTTGTGCATTGAGCAAAAGTGCTTTTACTAAAACCACTTAAAAAGATAAATAACTTATTTGGAAGTACTTTTAAAATGATTGAAAGTGCTTTTAAAGAAAAGGTTTTTGGGTTTCAAATGCATTTGAAGTGATTTCTCGAAGAAGCACTAGTTATGTGCTTTCAAGAAGCACTTCAAGTGTTTTTCTATGAGTCACTAGGATTTTTACTAAGGATTGGTTCAAAAAATATTTTTACTGAAAACGCTTTCAATCATTTTAAAAGCACTTCCAAAAGAAGTCAGAAACGTTTATAAAAAAAAGGTTACAAGTAGAAGTACTTTTTGTAATACCCTGAAAATTTAAATATATGAATTGGATATTCATAATTATGAATATGTGGAGAAAATAAAAAATAAATCGATTTATGGTTATGAAAATTTAATTGAGAAATTTTAAAATTTTGTTTCCGGAAATTATTATAATTTATGTATTTGTATTATTGAGATTTTATATTTTTTTTGAAATTTTATATTAATTTATTGAATTTAGATTTTAATTAAACTAGTACCAAAGAGTGAAGTTTGGAAATTAATTATTTAAAATTCATAGACCATTCGAGGTCACAATTTATATTTCCAAATAGAGCTCAATCTCACGAATGTGTAGGCATAAACCGTTTATGAAATGGAGTCATAATGAAAGAGTTATTCACATTTAAAGTTAGGGACATTTTTGTAATTTTGGCTTAATATAGAAGGCTCCAGGTTTCTGAAGCCATTATCTGTGATGACACGTGGACAGTTGAGATGAAAAGAAAAGAAGAGAAAAAGAGAGAATGAAGAGAAAGGATGGGGGAGGAGGGACCAATCGGGAAAAGAAGAAAGGGTGTGAAATGAGGGAGGGGAGAAGGAGGGGAACTCGGACCCCCCCTTCGGCCCGGTTCCACCTTTTGACCAACCCGGCCATATCTTCTGATTTCGGCCACCGTTGACAACGAGACTGGTGCCAAAATAATCCTTACTTCGAACCCAGTTGTTCTTTCTCCCATTCCCACCCGAAAAACTAACGAAAATGGATCGATTTTAGGAGAACCCGCACGGTGGGGTGCGGCGAGTTTAGCCTCGAATCACCAAAACTTGGAGTTAACTCCATCCATCTCCACCACTATTAAAGTTCCCTTGAGGCCTAGAACAAAGCCCAAACAACTATAGGGATGGTGGAGCACCGGAGGTTACGGATTAAAGCCACCCATTCCTAGGGTTTCCGGCAGGTTTGAGTGAAATTGGGGTATTTCCCAGCCAAATTAAACTTGGCCATAGGTATGAAAATTTCTCCCCTCACTGAGATCTAATTGCTTGTAAAATTTGGTAATTTTTGGAAATAATTAAATTTTCCGGCAAGTTGGAGCGGCCGACTGCCACCCGCAGCGGTGAGTGGGCAGTGAGTCGATGCTATATTTTTTTTTTTATGTGAATTTTGATATTCCAATTATGTATTTGGTATCCATTTGATGTGTTTCAATTATTAACATGAATGTTGGATTTTTCAATTAATTAAATAATTTCGAAATTGGTTTGAAATTGAAATGTGAACTATGAAAGGCTTGATCTGGCTCAAGGGTATGTCGTTAGTCTAACAGGGTTAGATGCAGCCTTAAATAATTGAGAATTAATATTTAGTTGGAAAACTTGATCTAAGAGAAGAAAGTGGTGATAAATTGAAAATATAATCGTATGTGTTGGTAAGAGAATTATGGGGGATCATGTGTGGGATTAAGGAATTTAATTAAAGAATTGCGATTAATGGTAGTTAAATAAACAAGAGTTTAGTTTGGGCCTATCACCGATATTTTTTTTCCGAAATAAATATTTCGAGGCAGGGCATGTCAAATGGTATCAGAGCAAATGATCCTACTTTACAATGTGAGATAATATTGATGGCTGTGGATGTGAATTGTGAATTGTATTGATATTGCACTATTTCATAAGTTCTTGACTAATAATGAATTTATGTGAAATGCCTATATTGGGAATCACTATGAAGTGAATTGAACTGAGTAGGAGTAGAAAATTTTAAAATGTCATATTTTATGTATAGCTTTAAGAACAAGCATTTGGTTTAAAGTTCTAGATTAATCTTGAATGAAGTTGATATTATGTTATGTATTATGAAAATTTTGAATGTTAGGATGATTGTGAAATTGAGACAAGTATATGGAAAAGTCGTATTATACCTGTGCAATTGAAAAATATTGATTTGGGCAGAAATGGCTCAAGGATGATGAATTGGGTGAAAAGGCCTGTGGATGTTGATTAGGGTGGAAAAGGCTTGTAAATGTTGACTTGCGCGAGAAGGCCCGTGGAATAGGAGGAATGTCTGATTAGGCAAAATGGCCTATGGATGTGGATTTGGGTGGAATGACCCATAGAATGTGGAAAAGTGGTTGAATGGGCATAAAGACCAAGTGTTTCTGCGAGAAAAGCTCCGTATGTGGGCTATGAGAATGAGTTATCAATAGGATGTGTGGAAAGGCATAATTGTTGGGTATATTACGATTCTTTCTAGGCTGCTAGTCACTTGTTGGAACAGAAAGAAAATCGTGATAAAATCTTTGTTTGACCAATGATGATTATGCTTAGGAATTATTTATATTTGTATGGCCAATGATAATGATGGATGAAAATTTTAATATTTTATGAAAGTCATGGTGGTTTATCGAATGGGAATGAAATTATAAACTGTGGTTATGGTTTGATCATTATAATTGGAATGGTGAAAAGTCCATGAAGATTTTTTTTTATTTATTATTGGTGGACATGAATGAAAATATGGAATGAGCTTATGAGTTCATTTAATATAAACGTTTTCCAGTTGAGTTTTTATGTTTGATGAAAAGAATTGATGGGAAAGGTTTATAATTACAAATTCGATTGGCTTGGTTGCCATAGTTATGAGTTGTCATTGTTGGATTTGATATTGCAAACAAAACTGATGACGAGCACGTATTCTCGTGGCTTTGTGATTAATAAGGCTTAGTTTTGTTGGCCAATAGAGTTGTAATATATTTAAATTTCTCTACCTTGGTTGATGGAATGTGAATAGTACTCTGGAAGTTCAAGTCACTCGTTTATTCGATCTTTGACAGCACTTTGAAACAATTTAAAAGAGAATCAATTGAAAGAAACCGTGAGTGCGGTTAGAAATTTTGAGGTAGAATCGTTGTAACGGCAATGTATAGCCAGTGATTGTACGTGGTTTACCAATGATTGTGGTTATTATGCTAGTATTATCTAGCCAATGGTAGATTTGGTTTGATTTATGGTATTTATTTAGCCAATGAGAATTATGGCTTGATGTTTGATATTATTTTTGCCAATGTGTATGGCTAGAAATTCTGATATTTATTCTGCTAATGAATGTGGCTGGGAATCTGAGAATGTGAGTGAGAATCACGATTATTATTCGTTGGTTGCTTATTTTTGAAGCCTGAATAAAATCGTAGACTGAGATTATGATTTTATCCACCATTAAAGGAATGGTGGGAATAGTTCTAATTCCTTTTCGTATCTTGATGGTTGAAATCTCAGGGACCAGATTTATTTTAACGCAAGGTGAATGTAATACCCTGAAAATTTAAATATATGAATATGGATATTCATAATTATGAATATGTGGAGAAAATAAAAAATAAATCGATTTATGGTTATGAAAATTTAATTGAGGAATTTTAAAATTTTGTTTCAAAAAATTATTATAATTTATATATTTGTATTATTGAGATTTTATATTATTTTTTCGAGAATTTATATTAATTTAGTTGAATTTAGATTTTAATTAAACTAGTTACGAAGAGTGAAGTTTGGAAATTAATTATTTAAAATCCGTAGACCGTTCGAGGTCAAAATTTATATTTTATAATAGAGCTCGATCTCGAACGCGTAGGCACAAACCGTTCATGAAACGGAGTTATAACGAAAGAGTTATTAACATTTATAGTTAGGGACATTTATGTAATTTTGGCTTGATCTAAAAGGCTCCATATTTCTGAAGCCATTATCTGTGATGACACGTGGATGGCTGAGATGAAAAGAAAAGAAGAGAAAAGGATAGCATGGAGAAAAGATGGGGGATGAGGGACCAATTGGGAAGAGAAGAAAAGAAGGGAAAAAAGGGAGGGTAGAAGGAGGGGAACCCGGCCCCCTTTCGACCCGCCCGGCTATATCTTCCGATTTCGGCCACTGTTGACGACGGGACCGGTGCCAAAATGATCTTTACTTCGAACCTAGTCGGTCTCTCTCCCATTCCCACCCAAAAAACTAATGAAAATAGTTTGATTTTAAGAGGACCCGCATGGTGGGGTGCGACGGGTTTGGCTTCGAATCA